GAGATTACAAGCAAACCAGCAGTGGACACTGGTTATCTACGACACGACACTGCGCAAAGGGTATATAGAAGCGATTCACAATCGCAGTGCAGCAGTATTAGTGTCTATTAATAAGCGTTTGGTGTTGCCGGGGACGACTATTCATACAGATGAATGGAGCGGATACCGTCAATTATCGAATCATGGGTACATTCATCATGTTGTTAATCATACGGACGGTTTCCGGAATCCTTTGGATGGAACCCACACCAGTTCCACTGAAAGATTTTGGAGTCGTCTAGAAAGACGTATAAGAGCGGTTAATGGATCGAGAAATCCCATGATTTACAGTTACCTGGATGAATTTATGTACCGAAACTGGTTTCATATGACTATGAAGACTCCCATGAGAAACTGGGAGGTTTTCTTGCAACATATACGCGAACGCCATTCTTTGTAACTGTTTATTATGATTGTATTACTTCTATATAAACCGTTTTTTACAATTATGCGCCTCTCCTTTTGAGTCTTCTTATTGGCCGAAGTTGTCCCTATCAAGGTCATTTTGCGTTAAAAGGTCGTTTCGGTTTGGGCCGCTATTCTTTAGAGTCACCCTTCTTTAAATGGTAGAATTGGATCGTTCCTGGAATTTGAGTGATTATGGGATAAATGGTTTGGAATTAATCATAGCAGTTAGAATACAGTTAAACATGCAGAGAAGTACTTTTGATTCAGCAACCGGTGAATTTTTTATTCTTTTCGATCTAGTACCAGAATAACTGCAAACCATTCCATTCAATATGTCGAATAAGGCACACAGGAGGAGATCATTACCATGGAATGAGTCAACTTGATCTGAGATGCAGCTTTCAGCATGTTTTCGTTATATCATAGATATCCAGGTTTATTGGCGCTGTACGGGTAGTGATTTGGATTATGACGTATTCCACAAAGTCTCCGTGTCCATTTGAAGTATACATGTGCTTTGAAAGGATTACTTTGTTGGCTCCTACCCCCACTGAGTGTTAACAACAGCTGCTGTGGGTTTATGTATTTCCTCGCCTTTTTGGATAAAAAATCGCCGCATTCTTTTTGGGTAGGAGACCAGTTGGTGGATTATAAATGATATCCAAGTAACTTTTATCTTTCCATGTGGTGTTGCGGTAAGTTTCTACCCTGTTTTCTCATATTTCATTCGTATGTTGGTTATGGTTCGCCCTTTGTATCAGGTAGACATAGTTTGATCGACTCTTGATTGAATGGGTGTTATTGTCATGACTGCTGCTTTTTTGTCTGGAATTATAAATAGAGACAAAACAAACAACAGGTGTAGTCTCTGAGTTCATACATTAAATGGGCCTATGATTTCTGAAACTCTTACATGGGAATTACCACTGGTATCAATTACAAACTCACTTAGTGTGTCATTAAGTGCCTTTTCAAAGGAGGCCAATGTGCTTGCTAGTCGTATTTTCTCAGGTAGTTTGTTCCATATTTGGGCATACCTAATCAAGAAAAACTTTTGCCTGGTGGCTGTTTTACATGGTTCTATAGCCACTGTACCTTTAGTGTGCCTAAGGTTGTATCCTGTGTTACCTGAGGACCGAGTATAGTTAGCAGGGGTATACACTATTTGGTTAAGAAGCTTATAGAAGAGTACCAGATTTAGTCGCAGTCGCCTTAACCATAATGTTTCTAGTCCTAGGATTTCACATCTGGTAGAGTAGTTTGTGCCGTTATCGGTTCCGAGTACTTTTCGCGTGAAGTACCTCTGTACTCCTTCTACTTTCAGTTTGTCTTCTATGCGTGTACTGCTGAATATGAATGAGCAGTAATCTAGGAGTGGGCGCACACAAACCTTGTACAGTAGTATTCTGGATTCGTTTCTGTAGAAGTTCCTGAGTAGGAAACCAATAAGCCTTCGTGATTTCGACACTTGATTCGAGATATGCTCTGAAAATGATAGATTGTGTGAATATTTCAGTCCTAGGTCTAGTACAGATTTGAGTCTGAGGATTTTGTGGCCCTGAATTGCTAGGTTGAGGTCAAGGTTGGAACAGCCTATGCAGAGCCATCCACACTTTTCAACATTAAACTCAAGTCTCCACGTGTCACACCATCTATCCATTTTTGCTAATTCTTCATGTATGGAGTTCATAGTTGGGCCGATATCTGTATTTGTGCAGGTATATGTCACCTTCAAGTCATCTGCATACAGTATTGGCTTGCCTATACTAAAACATTCACATATACTGTTTATGTATATAATGAAAAGAAGGGGTCCCAATACACTCCCCTGGATGACACCACTGCTGATTGGTCTAGGTCTGGAGGTCATTGAGCCAACTTTAGTCGTCTGATTCCTGTCATACAGGAATGATTTTATCCAATTGTAGAGGGGGTTGCGTATCCCTAGTGAGCATAGCCTACTGACTAACAGACTATGTGGGACTCTGATTTGTAAACAATTGGTGGATGGTGGCTAGCAGTGGAATCCAGGATGCGCATTTCGTCCTAATTGGGACTCGTCAGCTGGATGTACCTGCATTTCTCAGTGAGTGATGATGTGGGACTCTGTCGAAGGCTTTCCTTTTTATCGAAATAGAGGATAATCACTAGCTCTCTCCTATCTCTTCTATAGGTGACTTCGTTGAAAAAGTCTATATGGCAAGTGACGCAAGATCTTTTCTTGAGGAATCCGTGCTGTGACAGGTTGATGAGTTTATGTTTTAGAAAGTAGTCTGACATTTGGTCCTTGATTACTTTCTCCATGATCCTTGATATGACTGGTGTTATATTGATAGGCCTATAATTACATGCACTAGTTTTGGCCCCTCCTTTATGCTTAGGTAATATATATGTGTTTTTCCAAGTTTCAGGGTAGGTTTCGATCACTAGTGAGATATTAAATATTCTAAGTAATAATACAATCATATCCGTACCACCGTTTTTGTATATGACGGATGGTATATCGTCTATCCCACAACTACTGTTAGCTTTTAATGTCCTTACCGCCGATGCTATATTTTGTGTATTAAAGTTTATTTCACCTAACTTGTAGTTATTTTTGCAGGTTATGTCGAGAATTGGGGACGGATGTGCTTTGGTGTTATTGGAGAACCACTCACTATGGAGTTCACTAATGATCTGGGGATCATCATAAATTATATCTTCGTGTTCTAAATGACTGATATTGTTTTCTTCACCCTTCTTCATCCGTTTTTGCAAGATTTTGCAGAGTTCCTGGGTTTTAGAGGTGCCCTCTAGGGCTTTATTTTCCTCGACTTGTGCTTTCATTTTATGTCTCTCATCTAAATTTTTAAATATTTCGTGTATCAGGTGTAATGCATTAAATTCTTTGTATAAATAAAATCTCCTTTTTAGTTTCCTTAGTTTTATTCGCGTTTTGCGATCTATGAACAGCGTTGGTGTCTTTAGGGCAGATTTCAGGGATGCGATTGTGTCTCTTACCGAACTGATTGTCTTGTAGAAGGTATTTAGTATTACTTCTAAGTTATTATTGGTGAAGTATTCACCCCAGTCTGAGCTTCTCAAGAGCATTGGTAGGAATTCCCAGTCGGTAATGTGTTATTAGACGAGCCGGTGCTATTTTCTAAATTACTGGTGTTCACACGAACACGCTTTTTAGAATTTTGAACCATCTTTATTAAAGATAAATTATTAGTAACCAATAAATGAGTGTAAACGGAAACGCGTGCAACAGAGTCACCTGATTCGAACGTACCGGGCGAAGAGGAATATAAAACGTCATAAGATTCACTTAAATTGAGGTCATCAAAGTGCCTTTCTGTATTCTATAACTTACGTTTTCATCATCTTCCACTCCTATAGCTGAAAGTCTGGAGGCACACAATCATTTCATAAAAAGCTTGCGCAATCCGAAAACTCGGTTGGATTACAGAGTACTAACTGCCAAATGCCTCCCAAAACTTCAGGGTTATTTACCCTGCAGGATAATTTTTGTCGGCAAAACGCACTTACCCGATTCCAAACCTTAACTGATCCCTAAAACCTGAACTTATTCACAAAGGAGCGTAAAAGTGAATAAGTAACAAGCTTTTGAAGCAGAAGATGCACACAATATCCCCTAGTAGCTTCTCCGGTTCATACAACTAATCCTGAAGGATCTGAGTGATGACTGCTATACTGTAACTTCATTGAAGAATCGCTAGTGCCAAAACAAAAGTGCAAGGATTTTAAGCGTAGTAAATGCGACTCGTTTGGCACTTTATTCTGACATTTTTGTATTGAGACTTTTAAGTCTTCTGTAAATGACCTTCGCGGTATCATTAATACTTTTAAGGTCAATAGGTCGCGTGCGATCACATTTCTTTTCGCTTCGTGTTTGCCGTCTCTGGAACGCTTTACCGGCGGCCGTGACTACAGCACCATCTCTGGAGATTTTTAAGCGGAAGCTAGACAATCATGCAGAAATGCAAGGTTTGTGTCTCAATGGCTTATCCTGATAAAATTTGAAACCACACTGTCAATGAATAAGCGTACAAACTAAATCCCCACGACCTATTCTGCCTTCTCTCACTCTATCTTTTCCTTAGGTCACCTTTATTATTCCACTTATCTCAACCTATATTATCTACACTACAACCTATTATTATTATTATGATTATTACTGTTCTGCTTTTATGACTACACCGAATGACCAACGGGATTTAGGTCAAACTCCATTCACGGCAGCAATACAGTCCTAACATACTGCATACTACAAACCACATCTCGACCAATCCCCGCACCACTCCTCCTGGAGTCTACCAGAGCTAAAGCAGTCGAGTGTCGGGACTTACTACGCAGAAGCTCACCGAAGATCAGGAACCTCTACCTCACAATCAAGAAGCGAGCTCAAAGAAATCACTGGTTTATACTAGCTCGTAATCAGGATATTGGATATTGGAAATGACCTTCGCGGTATCATTAATACTTTTAAGGTCAATAGGTCGCGTAAATAAGACGGGGATTATTTATTGTCAGTCGAACTGTATGGTATGGTAAACCCGATTAAAAGCATGGCATGTCGACATGTTCAAAATATGGTTCAGAGTGTCTCTAAATGTTCTGGAAACGAGGCTCCTTATTCACCTGTCATAGACACTAACTCTGATTCGGCCTCTAGCTCCGTTAACACATCTAAGAGCTGTAAAATTTCAGGACAACCAGAGAAAAAAACCGAATGTCACTCAGAATCAGATGAAAGATGTCATAGCAAAAATTGTCTTGCGCCTAACATATCTAGTCCCTGTGCTTTCCATTGCGAAGAAGATCAGCAGTTACCTATTAAGTGTGCACAATCAAAAAAGATTTCACATGAAGGTATTAACGTGTAATGTTTAACTTCTGTCTAGACTTAGACGATCGCCAGTCTCCGAATGACTATCTTTGGCAGAAGTTGGAAGCGTTGATTGACCAGATGATCTCAGAGGAGGATGGGATTCCCGTCCGCAATGTGAAAAGTCTTATGTCCGTTATTCCCAGTACATTCACAGGTTTGTTACTTTTTGCATCTTTGCACTGTTTCTCCCACAACTCTGTATATTTACAGATTAATATGTTTCATGTATGTCAAAACGGTGATTGTAATAAAAAGTATCAGCAGTTTGTATTCAGAAACAGATCCTATGTGCAAGTGTGACCTTGCAGTGTGATATCAATTTGACGACATGTTCGCTCCGATTTCGACCTAGAGAAGGTAGAAATGTGCTGTTGCAAAGTATTTTCATCTTAGACATCGAGCATCTTGTGTTGTTTGCATTGTCGTAGAAAGACATTACAGACGACACATTTGAAGGTGGAGCTGCAGAATCTTTGCATAACATCATGGTATCTGGAAGTTTTTCCCGGTAGTTGGCTCTACTAGGGTTTCTGTTAGAAGTATGGAAATATAGATTTACCTACAACATGCTTGGTTGTTTTACGTGTCCTTCTATGCGCGGTTTGACACCACCCGAGACACACCTATCCAGCTAATATTACATTCGTGTGTTCTGTACACTTTGCCTATTGTCGAAAGCTTCCAAGGTCTTTTCTTCTGTAACTGACGAGTATAATAAATGGGAACAATATTTAAAAAGTATTGTTTCCAATTAAATCTCATCAGTCGTCTACATACGCAACTCCGCAAATAATTATATACTAATCGTGGTGATCTGTCAGTAGGATGGTGTGGTTGTGCATGTATGCTTTGCAATTAGTCATAATCACAATAACTACTAAAATCGATGATGAAATATCAAGGTTATTTGTGATAACAAGGGTAATGGAATTTGGTATAATTATACACACAGATGTTAGACGTAGTAGATAAAAACCAAGGAGAAGGAATAGGTTATATAATACTAGACCGTTGGGAAAGTAAATAAACCAAGTTTAAATGAGAATGTGATAAAACTAAAGAAGAGTTTATGTGCATCATTTTCGCATGATGAAGTATAAAGGCTCTTACTACTAAAGTAGAATTTCAAATACTGCTCATGTCAAATAAGTTCCACACTCGCATATGCGCCTAACATCTGCCCAACGTTTCTGTTAGTTACGAATCTCAGGTATTCAAGGAACTTATATTTAATATTTGAAGCTGCTTGTGCTCCTGTCGTTTTATGAAAAATTCCCATTTGCATACGTGCGAAAAGTGCAGCATTATTTAGCAAAGATTCTTATTGTTTGTTTCATGTAATTGTGCCGTATTGCTGGAAAGTGTCTATTTGTTGGACCTCGTGCTTTGTTTATTATTTTATCATGATGTACATATTATCATTCTGTGGGAGCACAGTGCTGTAAGCCGAGGTGCTTTTGTTGAAAGGCGTTGTGTGCGAATTTGCACTAATTATTTCACTCTAAATAGTATCATCTTCGAATTCACACCCTCAGGACTATGATTCGGCTGTTGAGTCGAAAATACTGATATTCTGATCGCCTTCAACAGACTTTCATAAGGTAATAGTTTATGCTATTAGCAGGAAGGATATATTTCACCACTTATTTCTGCAGCAGCAAGATGTATTTGGGCCGTGTCTAATTTCCACTGGAAGTTCAATGTTGTGCATGGTTTAAAATAATACCACCTTCAAATAGGAAGTTCAAGTCATCTCACAATTATGCTAATCCCTTTAGATATTAATGTTCTATAGTTGACCGTTACAATCAGGCGGCGTTTTGGAAACAGTATCCTGAAAAGCATATCCTAAACGAGAAAGATATTTAAACCTGTCAACAATGACAGATACGCTTTAGTAATGCAAGTTTGTTGTTATAGTTATAAGGCTTACGATTACTTTCATAACAGACGAATTTCATTTTATCAAAATGCTCCTTGTAGCCTTGTCTGCCCACAATCCGTAGTAGGCTTCACTAAGTGTGAGCATAGTTCTTTCCAAGAGGTTTATTTAACTCTATTCAAACTGGCAATCTATTCGAAGAATGTCCATAAAATAATACGCTTATAATTTTTCTCTTTACTTTTAGGTAGTGATATCGTTCACTGGTTGATGGAACACACTGGTGCTAGCGATGTTACTGAAGCAGTTCATCTTGCTAGCCGTATTGCGTCTATGGGCTACATTTTTTGCATTGACGACCATGTGCTGACAGTTAAAAATGATGGGCATACTTATTACAGATTTCAAACACCTTTTCTTTACCCAAGTCGATGCATGGAAGCAGATACTGCAGATTATGCTGTATACTTGTGTAAACGCACTATGCAAAATAAACAAAGACTAGAGTTAGCCGGATTCGAAGCTGAACGTTTGGCTAGTTTACAGAATATTTACTGTCACAAATGGGAATTTATTTATATACAAGTAAGTCAGTTTGGAAACATTGTCGGCTGTCTAAACTATACTAGAGTATACACTTTCATGAATTGAGCGATGAGTCGCGTGTATTATGTGAGGATAATGACGTTACTTACGTAACCGAACTGTATTATGTAAAGTTAACTTTAAGTGTATTAACCACGTGTTAATCTGGATCTGCGAACTACAACTTCACTTTAACTAACACTCAGTGCATCACAAGAAAGTTTATTATACTAACCAGTTGTTTAGACCTATGTATGCGGAATTGTTCAGATCACTAAATTGACAATTTTTAGTCTGCTACCTATAGCACTGAACCACAACTCTGCGGTTATTCAGTGAACTAATCAATTATTAAAGTCTATGGGTTTAGTTTATACACCTAGAATTTGCGTGAAAACATCTGTGCTCTACTCCCACGCTCTCAGTGAGAATTCATGTATGACGGAAAATAAATGTGTAATCGCAGAATTTGAAAGACATCTAGGTGGATCGGACAACATATGCAGATGGAAAGTTGTGTCCTTCCGTATCTATCAAAGCAATGTGATAACAATAGATTAATTAATAGTGAACATGGGTTGGTAAAAAAACACATCTTCCTACCATCATATCTTTCCCAGATTCTTATATCGATTGGTTTTCAGATTCATTTCATAGTGAAGCTAGTTATACTATGAAGGCAGCTGGAGTTGTAAATCTCTGTCAATTCAGATCCCTTAAACATATTTAAACATGATGAAACACCATCTTCCTCGACATCATGGGGTGTTGAAAAAGTTGTCAAGTCAAAGCATGTCACGAATTCTGTAGTCATTCACTGTTAGTGTAAATAACTTGGAATAATGTACGTTGCTTTGCTGAACTCCTCACAATGCTAGGAGTCAAAGTTAAAGACTTTAATTGAAGTGGTTGAAAAAGTTTGGCACTAAATTTAATATATGGATTCCCCTTACATAATAAATTGTTTCTTAAACAAACTCCAAGCTTGTCTAGGAAAAAAATTAGGTAATCAACACCCGTGTTGTTTTGTGTTATACAAAGCTGCTACCTTGACGTGGTGGTCGGGCTTGAACACCGCAATGATCTATTCAAGCTATACTGGCTGAGACTTATGTCTCTTGAGGTACTACCATGCCAGGCAGGTTGTTTGGATAGCGGTTAAACAAAAAGCAGCTACCCAATCCAACATCATGTCCAATACAAAATCACAAAATTTCATGCCGGATCGGCCGTGGCCCGGATTAACAACGAACGCGCTTCCTGCTGCCGTGTCACAGGGCAGGAGTGATAAATCTGCTACTGAGACACACCAAACAAAAAAGAACGAACAAAAACAGGCCGCGTGTGACCGGCCTCAAGCAGTTGTCCCCTGGGCTCTGCGGTCACGCAACCAACTTCCACGGTGTGGGCAGCCGGGAAGTAACAATCGCCCTCACAATCCGAAATGCACACGAAACCTCTCTATTACTCACTCATCTTTGTCTTCATCTTCATCTCTATCATATTGCCTTCCTTCCACTGATGCAACTCCTCGACTTGATAGCTCTTCACTTCCTCTCCACTCTGCGTCCACTAAAAACGATGGAAGCCACACTCTGAATCGCGGTACGTTCAACGTTTGCGTTACATTTTTACGTGATTCGTTACATAAAATTTATCTTGTTGTAGTACTTGCACAAGTACTATACCACTTCCATACTTGTAACCACTAACTCTCATTTCTAATAGTTATGGTTAATCAAAGTAAAAAGCAACGAACCCAATCCCCTGTAAAACTGGTGTCTAATTTAACGTCCTTGATTGCTACATCAAGCAACACACCCCCAACAAACGGCTATAGTGAGTCACATAACTCACGTGTATGCCGTAAGCGTCGAGCTGAAACTGAGGATAAAACTGTACTGACAGCCAGTATTAGCACTACTCCTAAAAATTCGGTACCCTCTGCTCATACAGAACTCCTCCCTTCACCTTATGTGCTTATGGAGAAACTCCAGCCATCAAGCTCTTTTTCAGTACTATCTTCAGAAATAGAACTTCTAAAGTTGTCTATAGGAGAACTTAAGGCTGAGTTAAGGGAAATAAAAAACAGTAAGTCAGTAAATGCTGGAAACATCGAAACCAATACCGAGATATCCAAATTATCAGATCAGATCAGCGATATCAGATCGCAGGTCTGTGAACTGACACCTCTAACTATCCTCATGAAAACGGTAAACCTTAACAAGCTTGACACAGAATCGGTAACTAAGGTAGATAACCTCATTAACTTTGTTACCACAGAAGTAACAAAACGACTCGACGCAAAACTGAGTGCTATTGTCTACAACGTTCCGGACAATGAGGCACTAAAAAAGGTACAGCGCATCTTACTTAGTGAAGCGAAAATGCCTAACTCCAAGACTAAGTGCTACAGGCTGAAGAAGAGTCAACATGAAAAGTGTTGTCCTATTCGTTTTCAGTTCGAAACACCGGCAGAGACCAGAAAATTCATTCACTCCCAACACACCCTATCGCAAGCCAGAAACTACAAACATATAAAGGTCGGGGTGGACAAAACAGTTATAGAAAGGCGCGCACACAACTATCTCACTAAGACTAATTGTGAAATAGGTAATAGGACATTGCAAGCAGCCATTATTCCCAACCCTGTGAAAGATACAGTAGACCCCACCGCATCACCCCTCTCAAAACACACAGAAATATCCCATCAGAGTGCAACACCAGCCGAAAGGCCACTAGACTGTAACCAAATAAATAATAAAACCATACCACCCATCACCGCAGAATCTAAAATGCCACTAAATAACCCCAGAAAAAAAGTTAAAACCCCCCGAAATTCGACTTTGTCCTCTCCTAGCTATAATTCCATTGGTAAAGATAAGGAAAATATGCCCCTAAATCATACCAACAAAAACAGTGGCAGCTTAAATAAACCCACACTTCCCACGGTTAATAGTATTAGCACTCACAACGTGCTAAATCGCACCGTGGCACACACTAATATCCAATGTCACAACGATGTCACCCTAAATAGTACAAGTGGTAATAGTCAGAACTCGGCTACCAACAACTCAGGGTCTTCAGAGTATGGCACACAAACAAATTTCGACCGGATATATGGTACAAGTCTGCTGGGAACTAACCCACAATGCAGTACACACGAAACCCACACAAGGACACAACTAGCATCAAACAATAGGTGGAATAATAAGCCATGGTCATCACAAGGATCCAATCATTTTTTATCCCCCGCGTCCCTGTCAGCGTTGAAAAAACAGCTGGTAGGGATGTTAACACTCCTAAACCACTAGTGCTGGCTCCCTCCTTGCATGAAAACAGGAACGGTCTAGTGCACCCGTATCCATTGGACACACTTGACACTTGCACAAGTATAGGCCAAATAAAGAACCCTACCCACTTCTGTAACCTAACTAAAAATAAAAGTTCCTTAGTCTATAGCAAATCCAGTACTCCAACTCCTAATTCTCCACCGAAAACAGCACACAACAACTCGATAGACATAGGTGAGCATGATGCTGGAACTCCTCTTAACATAGGATCGTCATGTCCAGCAGAACTACTGGGTGCTGAACCATATTCGGGGCTGACTAACGAACTTAAATACTTCAAATGCTACTTCAACTCTCATCTTTACGTAATCCTCATAAATGCTAGATCTGTTCTAAATAAATTGCCGATGCTCAGAGCACTCACAGTAATATACAAACCCCCTGTAATTGTCATCACTGAATCTTGGTGTCATTCGGACATCCTGGATGGAGAAATAAGCTTAGATAACTACACACACTTTCGGTGTGACAGGGAAGGTGGTAAGGGAGGGGGTTGTCTCATGTACTTTCTGAATGAACTTACTGTATCACAGCTAGAAAGTAGTACACTTAAATAACGTAACAGCATTAATTGGATGCTCCTACAGAGCACCTGGCACCTTTAGTAATTACGAGACCCAACTTATTAATACTCTGGAGCAATTAACCGACTTACAATACGATCATAAGATCCTATGTGGGGACTTTAACTTACCTGAAATCAACTGGGATATACCCACAGGTCCAACTAAATTTGATAAGTTCTTAGACACACTGGATATACTTGGCTGGAAACAAACTGTCACTACTCCCACAAGAGGTAACAACGTACTAGACTTAATCTTCTGCCACAATATAAGCCCCCTTTCAACGCTAGTAGGTTCTGAGTTCCCAGGGAGCGACCACAAAACAGTAATGTGTGCACTGCCAATTCCGCTGAGTAGCAATGCATCTCATACCTCCACTTCACAACAAGTAATATATAGGAACTATAGTAAGGCAAACTGGGCCTTAGTTGAATCGATGCTAAGATCCTCCAAATGGGATGAATACTTCACTACTGATGACCTATCGAGAGCCCTAACCATCTTCTACCATAACTCAAACATATGCTTAGATGCTGTCATTCCACTCCAAACACTAAAGGTTTCCCCACACAGAAAGTCATTCATAAAACCAAAGGATCGTAAGAAACTGAAGAAACTCTCAACAAGTTACTTCAAACACCACGACTTTGGCACTCTAGGTCTAATACTTAAAACCCTTAGCTCCATCACACAAGCTCAAGATTTCCGTATGAGAAAGGAAGAACGCATCGCAGTAGCCAGTCCTGCTAGAGTGTATGCACTCACAGAAATCTTAAGGAAGCGAATGAATCGCAAAAATCACAGCATTTCTCTCCTCATAGACAAAGGTAGGCTATGCACTAACTCTGCAGACATATGTGAACTATTCAACAAAACGTTTGCAGGTAACTACCTTAAGCCCTCAGTCCAGCTACTCGATATACACCCTATTACTAAAATGGCACAAACTCCAACTCCACACACCAAACCAAATTAGCACTGTTCAATTCACTTACGCTGACATTAACCAAACTATAAGAACCCTCAAAAGTTCAAAAGGTTTCGGTACCGACGGTATATCATCTTACTTCTATAAATATGGTGGCCCTGACATTCCTCTACTGCTGCTTAAAATATTCACAATGTCCCTAGAAACCCAAACTTACCCTGACATATGGAAGACAACATTCATTATGCCTAAACACAAATCTGGCTCGAAAACTGAAGTCAGTAACTACCGGCCAATCAATATCACACCTATAGCATCTAGAATCATGGAGAGACTAGTCAAAGATAACTTAATCAAACATATGCTTAGCTGCAACATCATAAGTCCGAACCAACATGGATTCCTGAAATCCAGATCATGTTTAACATGTCACCTAGACTTCTTCAATTTTGTAACCAGCAGTCGTGACAGACGGCAACTAGTACTTGTCATCTACTTTGACATTTCTAAGGCATTTGACCGTGTTGACCATTTACTGCTAACAAATAAACTGAACTCCTTAGGAATACGTGACCCATTATTAGGATGGCTTAAATCATTCCTTAACAATAGGTCCCAAATAGTTAAACTCGGGTCTGCAACCTCCAAACCTAGCCCTATCACTTCTGGTGTAGTACAAGGTAGTGTCATTGGACCCCTCCTATTTACACTATACATCAATGACATATGCGCTTGCTTCACGCACGGGAAACCATTCATCTTTGCAGATGACCTAAAAGTAGCTTATACATTCCAACGTGATGACTTAGGGAACTTCGAGAATGTAGTACAGAAGGAATTAGATAAAATGGCTGCTTGGTCGTCCCTATGGAATCTCCAATTTAATCTGAACAAATGTGGCTGGATCTGCTTCGGTGCACCCTCAATTGACCTGAAATTAACGCTCCAATCTGCTAACCTAACAAGACTCCGAAGTGTCGTTGACCTAGGCCTGAGGTACTCTAGTGACTTGACATTCTCAGAGCAAGTAGCATCACAGACTAGAAAATCGAGGATGCTCTTAGGATGCATACTCAGGAACTTTCACGACAATGAAGCCAAGCTAATTCTGTACAAAACATGTGTCAGACCACTACTAGAATACTGTCCATTTATTATAAGCAGCACTCGCACACGCGACAAGCTAAGGATGGAAAGTATCCAACGATATTTTACCTCAAAACTGCTTGGCTACGATTGTAAGAAAGACTACATCTCACGGTGCATGATCCTAAAACTCGACCCACTTTGGACAAGGCGACTTATTATAAACCTAATATTCTTCTTTAAGGTCCTTCACAAAATATCTTTCTCAGGTAACAGGGACATACAATTCGCACAGGAAGGTTCTTACGATCTGCGTAACCAAACTTCCACAGTGACAACTCATTCTTTTAAGTCAACACTCCGTGAAAACTTCTTCACAGTCATGTATTCTAAAATATGGAATAGCCTACCCCTAGATATCAGAACTTGCTCTTCGGTTACAAGCTTCAAACGCTCTCTATACAGACTGTTTCACTCTACTGATTATATTAATAAACTATTTACTCCTAGAACGAATCAACTACTAATCTACTACAGCACCTAAAAGACGCACTTCAACACCCTTAGCAATCTTTAAACTATAAATAAACTAGCAGCATGGATGCATAAAGACATAGTACGGAACATACAGGATTAGTTTACCCTTAGAAATAGGACCTATCCCTCATTGTAACCTTCAAACGCTTGCTATATAAACTGTTTTGTCCAAATGACTATCCCTACCAGAACCCATCACTTATTTCTAAAACGCATCAGTCATTAGAACACTAAAACGCTCAGACTCATTAATACACATTATGACATTAAATAAACTCTAAGACTTCGCATAAATACGTGAAAACAAATACAATATAGAAAAATGTTTACTTTACTATAATATACAATTAAGATAAACATTTATAAATGCATAATATATAAATGTCCTTTTCATGTTCACATACTTTCTCTTTCTGGTATTTTGCTGCTCCTATTCATCTTCTGGTCGAGGTCGAACAACCCTGCATCTAAACTGAAATGAGGATTAATTCCAAACCGTCTATCTCATAACCACTCAAATTCCATGAACGATCCAATTCTACCATTTGAAGACGCTGGCGAACATGCTGTAAATGAGTATTCATGATCTGAAATGAAGAAGCAACTGGTTTTCAAACAGTTTTCAACATTTTACTCAACTTACGAATACAGTCCGCCATGCAGACACAAATGGAGCAAATGGAGAATTCTGGAATCGACCTCGGCACCATTTGATGCAGTAAAACAACCCAACATGACCTTATCTAGTTTTCGTATCCACGATCAAATTTCTTTCCTGTTATAAAACTACGATAAGACTGCTGAAAAAATGGAATAAATATATCACTGATCTCAACATAATACATCAATAATCTTTAAGCCAAGGGTGCTGTTCACAACAAAGTTATATAGGAGAATTGACTTCAAGCTTTATTTTTCCCAGATATCTGTATTACATTCATCTGATGTCTGGGTTTTTTGTTAATGCGAAGACAATATTTCTATATCTCTTTATGTGCTACACAAACAGACTTTATAGCAGACTGTTCCGACTGACTCTAATGTCAGAAAGAACAACCAAACTGTAAATCCATTATACATCAAATTTTGTGTAATTTATATAATAACCTATCCATGCCTGTACAATTGGTATGTTCCTGCATAAACAGGAAGAAATATATATTATTAATATTATCTGCCCGACGTTTCTGTTAGTTATGAATCTCAGGTATTCAAGGAACTTATATTTAATATTTGAAGCTGCTTGTGCTCCTGTCGTTTTACGAAAAATTCCCATTTGCATACGTGCGAAAAGTGCAGCATTATTTAGCAAAGATTCTTATTGTTTGTTTCATGTAATTGTGCCGTATTGCTGGAAAGTGTCTATTTGTTGGACCTCGTGCTTTGTTTATTATTTTATCATGATGTACATATTATCATTCTGTGGGAGCACAGTGCTGTAAGCCGAGGTGCTTTTGTTGAAAGGCGTTGTGTGCGAATTTGCACTAATTATTTCACTCTAAATAGTATCATCTTCGAATTCACACCCTCAGGACTATGATTCGGCTGTTGAGTCGAAAATACTGATATTCTGATCGCCTTCAACAGACTTTCATAAGGTAATAGTTTATGCTATTAGCAGGAAGGATATATTTCACCACTTATTTCTGCAGCAGCAAGATGTATTTGGGCCGTGTCTAATTTCCACTGGAAGTTCAATGTTGTGCATGGTTTAAAATAATACCACCTTCAAATAGGAAGTTCAAGTCATCTCACAATTATGCTAATCCCTTTAGATATTAATGTTCTATAGTTGACCGTTACAATCAGGCGGCGTTTTGGAAACAGTATCCTGAAAAGCATATCCTAAACGAGAAAGATATTTAAACCTGTCAACAATGACAGATACGCTTTAGTAATGCAAGTTTGTTGTTATAGTTATAAGGCTTACGATTACTTTCATAACAGACGAATTTCATTTTATCAAAATGCTCCTTGTAGCCTTGTCTGCCCACAATCCGTAGTAGGCTTCACTAAGTGTGAGCATAGTTCTTTCCAAGAGGTTTATTTAACTCTATTCAAACTGGCAATCTATTCGAAGAATGTCCATAAAATAATACGCTTATAATTTTTCTCTTTACTTTTAGGTAGTGATATCGTTCACTGGTTGATGGAACACACTGGTGCTAGCGATGTTACTGAAGCAGTTCATCTTGCTAGCCGTATTGCGTCTATGGGCTACATTTTTTGCATTGACGACCATGTGCTGACAGTTAAAAATGATGGGCATACTTATTACAGATTTCAAACACCTTTTCTTTACCCAAGTCGATGCATGGAAGCAGATACTGCAGATTATGCTGTATACTTGTGTAAACGCACTATGCAAAATAAACAAAGACTAGAGTTAGCCGGATTCGAAGCTGAACGTTTGGCTAGTTTACAGAATATTTACTGTCACAAATGGGAATTTATTTATATACAAGTAAGTCAGTTTGGAAACATTGTCGGCTGTCTAAACTATACTAGAGTATACACTTTCATGAATTGAGCGATGAGTCGCGTGTATTATGTGAGGATAATGACGTTACTTACGTAACCGAACTGTATTATGTAAAGTTAACTTTAAGTGTATTAACCACGTGTTAATCTGGATCTGCGAACTACAACTTCACTTTAACTAACACTCAGTGCATCACAAGAAAGTTTATTATACTAACCAGTTGTTTAGACCTATGTATGCGGAATTGTTCAGATCACTAAATTGACAATTTTTAGTCTGCTACCTATAGCACTGAACCACAACTCTGCGGTTATTCAGTGAACTAATCAATTATTAAAGTCTATGGGTTTAGTTTATACACCTAGAATTTGCGTGAAAACATCTGTGCTCTACTCCCACGCTCTCAGTGAGAATTCATGTATGACGGAAAATAAATGTGTAATCGCAGAATTTGAAAGACATCTAGGTGGATCGGACAACATATGCAGATGGAAAGTTGTGTCCTTCCGTATCTATCAAAGCAATGTGATAACAATAGATTAATTAATAGTGAACATGGGTTGGTAAAAAAACACATCTTCCTACCATCATATCTTTCCCAGATTCTTATATCGATTGGTTTTCAGATTCATTTCATAGTGAAGCTAGTTATACTATGAAGGCAGCTGGAGTTGTAAATCTCTGTCAATTCAGATCCCTTAAACATATTTAAACATGATGAAACACCATCTTCCTCGACATCATGGGGTGTTGAAAAAGTTGTCAAGTCAAAGCATGTCACGAATTCTGTAGTCATTCACTGTTAGTGTAAATAACTTGGAATAATGTACGTTGCTTTGCTGAACTCCTCACAATGCTAGGAGTCAAAGTTAAAGACTTTAATTGAAGTGGTTGAAAAAGTTTGGCACTAAATTTAATATATGGATTCCCATTACATAATAAATTGTTTCTTAAACAAACTCCAAGCTTGTCTAGGAAAAAAATTAGGTAATCAACACCCGTGTTGTTTTGTGTTATACAAAGTTCGTACACTTCTTTATGGTATGTGTGTGGCTTTTCAGATTTTACCAAGTGAATTACGGTTGAGACAGCTTACTCTCTGCATTAACTGAGGTACTAGGCAGCGTCTGGGAATCAGAAGAAGTCCCATCGGGTTGGTGTAAGTCACTGATTATCCCCATATACAAGAAGGGAGACAAGTCTTCCTGTGATAATCACAGAGGGATTAGCTTGACTAATATATTATCTAAAGTCTTAGGCTCAATAATCATGCGTAGACTGAGTGGTGCTCGGGAAGCACAAACACGAGAGAGCCAGACAGGCTTTAGACCAGGAAGAGGGTGTATTGATCGTATCTTCACCCTCCGACAGATTCTAGAACATAGGCATTCCTACCGGCGTCCAACAGTCATTATATTTCTTGACCTAAAGGCAGCATTCGACTCTGTCGATCGGGAAGTTCTCTGGAGATGCTTGGCTGTAAAGGGAATTCCAAGAAAATATATTGCACTGATTAAGGCACTCTACTCGTACTCATACAGCCAGGTGAGGGCTTACGGCGAGCTGTCATCTGAACTGATGACGACCAGTGGTGTCCGTCAAGGATGCCCATTATCTCCTTTTCTATTCAACTTCATCATAGATGTGTTAATGGACTTAACCCTAAGTGACTTCAGCGACTCAGGGATTGACTTGCTACCGGGGAATAATCTCGTTGACTTGGAATATGCAGACGATATAGTCCTTCTAGGCGAAGACGCTGACGAAATGCAGAGTCTTCTAAACACCTTGAGCCGCAATCTACGAATGTTTGGCATGCGATTCGCTCCCGCCAAATGCAAGATGATGTTACAGGACTGGACTACATCGACGCCTAGTTTAAAAATAGGAAGTGAAGTGGTAGAGCACGTTGACCGCTTCACTTATTTGGGAAGTACCATCAGCCCCAACGGGCTGATCTCTGACGAAATCTCAGCACGAATACAAGGGGCTCGTTTCGCATTTGTTAGTTTACGCCGACTCTGGCGTAGACGAGATGTTCGACTATCGACCAAAGGGCGGGTGTACTGCTCATCAGTCCGCTCCGTCCTCCTTTATGGATGGTTGTGAGACCTGGCCACTGAGAGTGGAAGACATGAAAAGCTTGTCTAGCTGTCTTTGATCATAGGTGCCTGCGTTCTATTTCCCGTGTAAAGTGGCATAATAAGGTGAGCAACATGGAGGTCAGGCGTAGAGTTCTAGGTAAACAGGGGAAATCAATCGACGAAGTCGTGAAGCTACAAAGACTGAGATGGTTAGGACATGTGTTACGTATGCCAAGCCATCGCCTCCCTCGACGAGCTATGTTAGCGGATATAGGGTCAGGCTGGAAAAAAGCTAGCGGCGGTCAAACAAAAACTTGGCCGAACCAGTCAATGAAATCCACAACAGTTGGTCTAAGCCACGTAGAAAGGTGTAGACTTCCAGGCTGGGGTCCTCGGGACGGTAAAAATCTATGGTTGGAAACAATTGGTGACATGGCTCAAAACCGTTCTCAGTGGCTAACGCAGATGCATCCACTCCCTGTGACTTATGATCTTCAGTGAAACTGTTTTGTATTTCTTTATTACTCCTTTGTCTCACACCTCTGCTCACTGTTTCTATTATGCTTTTCTTGTACTTTCTTCTCTTGCTTCGCGTGCTACACGGAATGTGGCGACTTGAACTTCCGCACATTTGTGCAAAGTTCTATGTCGAAAACAGACAGACAGTTATACAAACGTAGTGCACTTCTTTATGGTATGTGTGTGGCTTGTCAGTTTTTACCAAGTGAATTCCAGTCTTTCGTACATCAGGCTAGACGGCCATCAGATTTTCTTCAGCCTGTGCGTCGAGACAGTATTCTAAGTCTCATGTAAAGTATGAAAAGATAACTCGGTAAAACTCACCATTCGCAAAATCTGTATATTTAGTCATTAAATCCACTGTCGCTAAATTATCGTTATCCGTATACATGGACTGTCTTGCTTATTTTTAATCATCATATGTGTTCTAATTTTTGTCGCTTATTCGTTACTTTTTGAATTCTCAGTCTGTCTGTACCGCTTTTAGTGGTTAATTATGTGATTTTAGAAAGTTTACTTCCAGTACAGTATCTAAAATGGTTATTGGGATATGGTGTATCGCAGTCACCACCCACAATCTTCGCACATTAATGTGAATCCAATAACAGGCTCAGTCAGAACTCTGGAATGTCTTGCTGTTGATGTATACTTGATAAAAGATTCCAGCACACAAAATCCCAGTGAAATAGTTTAAATTACTTCCTCATATTTCATGTGTATTAATACATTTCGAGTCTATCTACAATGGGACCTTACGTCATCGACTCCCCGCTTCCGGTGTGTCAGTAAGTGATAAATCCAAGATGTATCACTGCCCTAAGCAAACGTTTATGTGCTGCTATATTGAAAGGTTATATTAGGGTTAAAAGTATCTTAACAGATAAGCTTTGTCTTTTCTTTGTCGATAGATAGCGTTCTGAATACAACTAAACAAGAGTTCTACCACTAACTAATTGACCCTCTCAAGTAAGATTGCCTGAAAGATGTACAGTGCTAAATGTGGACTGCAAGGAGAAAATCAGGTGTCTAGGCTCAGAGGAGAGTTGTTTAGGTGATCATAAGTCAATAGGTGGTCGCATTTCAAATGAAGAAAACTGTCTGTTGCAGCTTTGTGCGTATCAGAACGCACTTATTTGGAGCAACAATTTCCAGCATAGCCGTCAATTTAGTACCACTCAGCGTCTTACTTCTGCCATTCAAGCTCAGACTCAACTAGATCACATGATAGCTGCCGATGATGTGGGTGCATACGGGGCTATCATCTTGTCTTCTGTATTTCTATCTTTCTCCAATGTATACCAGATTTTCTCGCGATTTGGTGGTGATTACAGACGTCGTTGCGCACCTTCTAATATAGCCAAATGTCAATATGATCTATATTTAGGGTTAGCTACTAACCTTTCAAAGAGTATAGACCAACACCGCTCGTATTTAAAGGGCGCTGAGATCTCAAGGGAAGCTACTTAAAATTTTATCACATTTTCTAAGTACAGCCATTATAACGGTTTGATATCGTAAGCTGTAAGCTTTTTTCACGTTAGATTGTGTTAACTAATCACTCAGTTTTCACTTTTAGAGACATATTATACTTTCTTTTTAACTAGCATATGCGTATTGCATATATAATTTTTCAGGCTGAAGCAGAAGCTAAAGTAGATAAGAAAAGAGATAAACTGGAGAGATTGGTCCTTGAGTCACAAGAAAGAGCTTATTGGGATTTACATCGGCCTCCACCAGGTTGTATCAACACAACTGACATTGATATGCGTAAATTATGTCGTGCTAAACGTCCTAAAAAGACTCCATCACGACCTGTGAATTTCCCTATTCCAAGTGGTCCAGGTCAGTTTGTTGCACAAGTGTTTAATTAGCGTTACCCATAAATTTTGTACTGCCAATTAACTGTTTTAGCTAGATTTGTATGATTCGTTTGACCCTTGCAAATTTGACTTATCCACGTTCATATGACGTCTACTTCTGATGAACCTCAGTATCAAATGTCTGTATCTTCGAATCCATCTCCCCCAGGTAACTTGATTAGTTACACTTCGAAAACTCCATCTCCAAACAAATAGACAACTGTTTACAGGATACATATAAAACCTTAATTGCAAGCTGATTCGTAGGTTGATTATCAGATCGCACCACACTGTTATGTAGAAAAATGAAATCAACCTCATAAATGGTGGTCTGCTTCAATTCTTGAGGTCTCATAGGTGAAATATACATCACATGGCAATTATATAGGTATCGCGAGATAACCTGGGAATAAGGATGTGTAGATAATCACAGAATTTTTTAAAAAAAGAGGAGAATAATTCGCTCACACAGCTTTTAACCTCTGTTTTTTGCAGTGACTAAACAGTAGCGCTATTCGAAATCAGCGTCCTAGTACATGTTCACATAACAGATTATGAAACACGTTGATTTTGTGAGGATATACGCTACTAGTTGAGTACTCAGGTTTAGATGGAATGAAAATTTATTTAGAGACCCAATATTTAAAACTCAGATGTCCAAGACAATAAGCTATAATGTATTATCCTCGTTGATTTAATATTATCTTTGTTCGACTGAGTCAAAGGTTCAGGAGTTGGCATTATGCAAACAAGTGACTACAAATGCAAAAAGTTACCTTTTCTTTGGAACGGAAGCAAATTTACTTGAGTTTATACTTCAGAAGATGAGCATATATTACTTTAGTGAAATTTGTCAGCCTAAATGATATCAACCAAAACTACTTCGACTCATAAAATTCAACAGAGTTCAACTTATCACACTATCTACATCCAACTTTAATGTGTAAATCACCATAACACAAACTTCCTCGATGACTGACTGAGTTTCAACGCGGGATTTCGCACAAGAGTACATCAGTTCAAGTCTCATGTAGCACGTAAAGGTAGACAAGAGAGAGAAAAAATATTCAAAACGTCAGTCGAATGGTGGTCAACCCCCCTACCTCAACTTCATTGACTTTGAAATGGCCTTCAACAGCGTTGAGAACGAAGTAATTTGGAAACTACTTCAACACGATAGAGTGCCCCAAATCTTCATCACCCTAATCCAACAGCTATATGACAATGTCAGGTAATCCACAGCGGAAAACTCAGCGAAGCGTTTGAAGTGAATACAGGATTAAGACAATGCTGTCTACTATCACTGATAACATTTTCATTTGTGGTAGTTTATACCTCAGCAATACTTTGCACCAATACGAACACTGTAAATCTGAATTTTGCAGATTATTAATGTTTAATGCCACACAAACTCAGAAACTTTCACGTGACAACCAACAACCTGGCAGAAGAAACAGAAAAGACAGGACTTCAAGTAAACATCGAGAAGACGAAAGTGATGAACAACAACGTAAACCAATCACTATTGACGGAGGAAATTTGAAAGAGACCACTTCATGCACTTTTCTAGGCAGCTTCGTTTCAACTATAGGCTATGACACAGATGAGGATGTGAAAACCTGAATTGGGAAGGCCAGGCACACCATCACTCTGAAATCAGTTTGGAAATCTTCGGCACTGCACTCAGCAAAAAGAATAAAATCCGGATTTTCAAAACCAGTGTTAAATCAGTCAGTCAATTCTTCTATATGGGTCAGAAACTTGCACTGCACATCACGAAAAGCATTTCCAATAATTAGCGACAGACTTTTATCAACAGCTGCCTTAGCTAGATCCATATTGAAGATCAAATGGCCGGCCAGAGAGAATTAGCAACAAGAAACTCTGCGAACCTTCCAATAAGGAGCCTACGTGCTCAACAAATGTGTAAAAGAAAATGAAGATGGATAGGGCATATGTCGAGGATACCGTGGAAGACATGAAAAGATTAGCTGTCTTTGATCATAAGTGCCTGCGTTCTATTTCCCATGTGAAGTGGTATAATAAGGTGAGCAATATTGAGGTTAGGTGTTGAGTTCTAGGTAAGGAGGGGAAATCAATCGACGAGGTTGTGGAGTTACATAGACTGAGATGGTTAGGACATGTGTTACGTATGCCTAGCCTAGTCATCGCCTTCCTCGACGAGCAATGTTAGCTGATATAGGGCCAGGCTGGAAAAGAGCTAGCGGTGGTCAAACCAAAACATGGCACCAGTCAATGAGATCTACAACAGTTACTCTAAGCCATTTAGGAAGGTGTAGACTTCCTGACTGGTTGGGGTCCTTGGGACGGTAAAAACCAATGGTTGGAAATAATTGATGACATGGCTCAAAATCGTTCTCAATGGCTGGCGCAGATGCATCCACTTCTTGCGACTTATGATTTACATTGAAACTGTTTTTTTTCTTCGTTATTACTCCTCCTTTGTCTCACACCTCTGTTTACTGTCTCTATTATGCATTTCTTCTACTTTCTTCTCCTGCTTTGTGTGCTACATGAAGTGTGGCAACTTGAACTGCCGCACCTATGTGCAAAGTTCTATGTCAAAAACAGACAGCCGTCTAATGACATCGCTCGAGTAGAACCCTAATTGGAATCGATGAGCAAGTAGTTGGTGCGAGGGTGACATAGAGGAGATAAGAGATTATGGTCAATCGTTGGCCGAGATGAAGAGAACAGCTGAAAATAGGACAAAGTGGAGATGTGTTGCCTGAAGCCTTATGTTACACTCAGAACCCAAGGGAGCAATAACAGTAAGACAGAAATATGAAGGAGAAAGAATAGTAATATGGGAAAAGCATGACAGTTTAGTGGATATGGGAGATTACATCTTCTAGGAGTCCGTTTCAAGAGTTTATGACTCGGTGCGAGAACCAGCACTCCACAGCAATGTGATTTCTTCTTGGTTTTGGAACTCTCCTGCCATGTTCTAAGGTGTCCCGACCATGCCTTACAGCTCACCCCGAAAAAAAGATAACATAACAATTTCGCTTTATTCCAGAAACAGTACTAGATGAAATAAAAACCATGAGAAAATTCCGTGATTAATCACGAAATCCCCATAAAGAATTATTTCGAATTTACACTGCATTGTCACGGGAATCGAATCACTTTCAGCCTTATATATGATTTTTTACGCCTAATGACAACAAATTTGTAGTGTCACTGATATGAATAAATCACCCAGCGCTTCTCGTGCAAACCTATCGGAACCAACTTATATCAGATAATAAACGGCATTACTGACTCCATAACATAAGCTTTAGGTTATTTTTTCACCATTTCCTCCATTTACTTAAGTTGTGAAATGATGCAGCTTGTACAAGGCGTCGTTTCGGGAAACAGGCACTCAACTGACATCTAATTTGTGAATATTTTGAAAGCATGTGATTTAAAAAGCATAAGCCTCATGAGTTTAAGTAAATTCTTAATGAAAATACACCATACAAAAATTTACAAACCGAAGTACCGCTATCGTAACGCATATGTTAAACATGGCGCTTACGCAGGCACCACAAATTTTCATATTTATTTTATAAACTTATTTGATTTTCGAATTTGTCACAAGGCTTAAATAAAGTGATGAGGGTTGGCCACAGACACTTATTCGTTAGATTATGCACCTCAATAGGCAAGAACTTGTCATTGGTTTTGTTGTTGGGAAATAATTATAGTTGATGTTCACATGCATTTCCAATTCTCAAACCAGTATTTTAGAAAAACAGTAGGTCTTAAAAATAATTTTTCAATTTATGGGGATCAATCTGAATGCAAGCCACTTACCATCTAGGACATACAAGAAAAGTTATTTACTGGGTTTCACAGACAATGATTGAATTGGAATCTTTTCAAGCGGCCTTCAGCTATTGGAAAATACGGGTTGGAATTCCATATTCTGCAAAGTATTGGACAGTTTGCTTTAGGATGTCCTCACTAACTTGTATTCTGACATCCTAGGGAAAATTTTATTCCAAACTCTAGAGGAAGAGTCTGAAAGAATATGGAACCTTGGAACAATGGTTTCTCATTTTATTCAGATAAATTATCAACCTGTTGTACTATTCATCATACGCCTTCATGTGGCTTTCCGAATAACCACTAATTTACTCATTCAGAAAATAACATGAAATAAAAAATTGTACTTTTCTGTTCAAGTTGGTGAACCTTTTGGGCTTCCTAAGCTACAAAATTGTGCGCTCATTCTAACCCGATAACGCATTACATAGTTCCGAATCCGAATTCCACTACCAACAGGAACCTGAAACTTTTACAAAAATATTTCAGAATCACTTTCATATATGACGAGTCATTTCAGAGGTTTTGATGTTTGATGTGAAAAAGATGTATCTATTAAGCAGTAACTTGTCGAAGCCCCAACAGTATGTGACTGTTAATGTAGCTGAAGATCGAACGATCAATTCATGGCTGTTTGCTCAAACACAACTCCATATTTTTCGCCGGAGTCATCGATACTTCAGCCATCTTTCAATCGTTTGCTGTTCGTTGGAAGATGGAGAAAAACTATCAGAAACTTTGTATACAATAACCTTATAGTTGGTTCTATATTGGTGCAAGAATAAATGATTCCTGAGTTACTAGTCTGTGTTCTGTTTTCTCGCGTTGCTGTGTGAACGTAGTTCCTGAAAGTCTTCTAAGGACACTTTGAGGTCCAGTGTAGTTAGACTTGGACATTTGACAGTTTCTGATAATTCTCCTGGAATTATTTGTCTTATTTGCTGTCAATTCGTCTTTCCTCGAGTCTACATGTCATCTTTGGTTAAGTGTTATTTGGAACTTTTCTGGAAATTTTGGTCAGGATCAACAATGCCTGGCTCAAAGAAAGGACAAAGGGTTTTGGAAGCAGACAGGAAGGTAAGTAATGATGAGTTCCCTGTTATATGTAATGATGTGTGTGATGCTGAGCATGATAAGATTTATGACCATGTTTCGCCGTTTAGTGATATTAGAAGTTT